ACCAAACGCCCGAGTCGACAACCTTTCGGCGTCCAGAGCCGCCTGCCGCAAGGTGGCGATTCGTGGCCGTCGGTCAGCAAAGACGCCGCGCGTGGACCGGCGCTACACGACGGCGTGGCTGTTGCCGCCGCCGCTGCCGTTGCGGCGATGGCAGCAGCGGCGGACGCTGTGCCGCACAATCGATGGGGGTCGATAGGGACGGCCACTTGCCGTCGCCACCGCCAGCGGCGTCGACGGACGACGACGTGTCGTATCCGTCCGTGTGTCCGCACACACGTCTCCGTGGCCGTGGTCGTGTCCGTTTCCCGTCGGGCCACGCGTCTGCCGGTCGGCCAGTGGCCGCCGTAATCGAGTTTACGAGTTGTTTTTTTTTTTACCCGTCGTCGAATTTGAATCTTTTCGTTCCTCCCCGTCGCCGCCGTTCCGCCGCTCCCTCCGGTCCTTCGACTCCTTCCAGTCCGATTGCCGAGAACGCGACGCGACGTGTGTATGTGTGTTCCTCTGTGACCGTTTTATGCATTCTTTGCCGGGTTTCCCGCTCTGCGACCGCTCAAACGTTGTCCGGTCTGTCGTTTCCGTCTCGGCGGCCGTCACCGTTGCCAGCGGCTTGTGATCTCCGTAAAATTTTTACGCGCGCAGCGTGCCGTCTCGTTTAAAACAATAATATTATAATATATATATATATATTATTGCAATACTCTCCCGACCACCGACCTCGTACGATTGCCGACTAGTTCGTTTTATCGTTTTCAAGCTTTGTGTGTACATACATAACAGCGTCGTCATCGCAGCACTCTCGTTTTCCGATGACATGTGAGTATAAATTATAATACACACGATAATAGAACCCACCCGAATAAGTCCATGAGATGTGCGACCACGGTATCCCGAGGTTCGAGTGTATTGCCCTAAAGATTCTGCCGTGTCTATTTCATAAAGACTAAAATCTTAACATCGTCATGATTATCACCAATTATGATCGTGTAACGTGTTCGCGCTGATCGTCATTGTGGCTTTGATTGTCCTGGAAAAGTGAAATTTGTGTCTCCACGATATCTCTGTGCATCCGACCGGATTTTATCGTTTCTTTTCTCGCTCTTCAGGCTGCTTCATTAATCAGTCTGACGACATGCCGTGTGACGCTTACATGCATATATATATATATATATTACGATAATTGATGTCTTTTTAAAATCGTTAAGTTCTAGAAATCGTTGTATACTATAACAGACAACCGTATCAAGTGGTCTTATAATTGTCATATCAAATTTTATACATTAAGCTCATTATTATGTATTACATAACCAGTCGGAGGATATATTTTAATTTACTAAAATTCGGAAAAGTGTTAATTTCTAACTGTGCAAATATAGTTTATATATAATGATAAATTATGTAAAAATTCTTCTATCAAGTTTTATCGCAATCATATAATATTTTATCTCTGCCATTATCATCGTGGTATAAATTTAACGTTGACAAAATCGTTTATGTGAGTGTAGTGTATATATTACATCCTTTTCATCTAAAACTATAGTATTATAGACAACTGCACTTATAATAAATGTACTACGATTATAGTTAAAGTCCGGACCGGGACTTATAAAGAAAAAGAATGAACGTTTTCTAGATACGTACTCGACGAGGCAGAAATAAAAGTATCGGTAATACGCGTCTGCAGTGAACTTAGTGTGACAGAGACTAATACGTGGTGTATTGCAGTATAAAGCTATCGAGGAACTATTTAATTGCAGATCGGGAAATTGCTAATAGCGTGTAAAATGGGAATCAATGAAAATATTTCGCATGGATGCTTGTTTAATACTGAATTTATTTTGATACCGTCACATTTATAAGTGAATTTATATTTAACTTTAAATACAATCTATAAAAGTTTTTAAAACCGTTGGGATAACCACTAAACAAGTATTATTAATTTATTATTTGTGCATATTATTTATTCATTAATTTTGACAATATTCTAATGAAATAATTTATAGATTGGAAATATAATACTATACCGTAATACTCATTAATAAAATGTTTACATAAATTTTAACATTTAACAATAATAACCAATAAAGATATTATGTGTAGAAAATAATATATTTTATCACATATACAAACATCTTATGTTTGTCACTTGTCCAGGTAAGATTTTAAGATGAATTAAATTATGAACTCTTTAACTTTAGAATTTTTCAGCTAACATTTGGTTTGCTTTTAAGATAATTTATTTAACATTCAATCTAGATTAGATACCTAAATGGGATTTTGAATAGCACTGTACGTATGTTTTTTACTGATAGATATAGAACTACCTTCAAAAATAAGCTACCAAAAATATATTTTAAGCAATGGAAAAACAAATTATTATATTTTACTCTGTCGCATGTTATTAAAGCATTGAAATACCAAATTTCTATTTTTAAACAACAAGCTGAAAAAATTTTAAATTTAAGTTGATCTAGTGCTTCTCTATTCATTATAATTACGTGTTCTAGAAGGGTATAAAATGGTTAAAGGGAGGCGTAGTCGAGATGTTTAATCTCTTGACAACTTAATAAATGTCCTAGTGAAACTGTTACTACCTTTTATTACTGTTCATAATTTTTATATTAATAAATTGTAAAATTATTTAAAAACTTTTATTTTTTTTTTAATAACATTGTATTATATGATATATTTTTTTAATTTGAATTAAAATTTATATTTTAGAAAAAAATTTATCGAATACTTTATACAATTGAATGAAACAGAATTTAAATATTTCATGGATTTTAAATCTTGACCTTTATACCAGTTATTGTAGTGAGGTTCGATAATTTGTTATTGGTTTGCAATCATTATAAACAAAACAAAAAAAAATATGACATAATTCAATAACTGTTTACTTAAATCAAACTTAAATAAGTTATATTTTTAAACAATAATACTTATAAAAGATATATTTTATGAAACTTGTTGGTATAATATAATAAGTACAAGGTATGAAAAGTATATTGATACAGACAATTTTTAAATATTTAATTATTATCCTAAAATATTATTCGATTATTAAATCAAATTGATTTTATATTGTTTTTTAAAAAAATGTGCTACATTTCATTTTTTTATATTTGCTTATGAAAAAATATAAACCAAAATGTCATAAAATCACCACTCTATTACCACTTGTTGCTGTAATATAGTCTAATACCTGAGCGTAAAATGCGTATTGCGTAGTATAAAGTTTTCCACTGATCTTTCTTGTTCATGTAATAAAGCCTATACTTCTACCTCAATAAGAACTTTATTTATCTCTGCTAACTACTGTTAAAATATGAAATTTAATAATCTTACAATATTTAGAGACACAGTTTTTATACGTGTTTATACTATGTAGTCATTTTTTAACATATCAATGAACTTAAATATGTTTATTATACATATTAATTAAAAGATTTATGTGCATAAAATATAGTTATGATAATATAAGATTTTTTATTTTCAATCTATTATTTCAAATTAATTAAAATTACTGGAAATGTACTTAATTAATTAAAATATGAATAATTTTAATATAATTATTTATCAATTATTATTAACATTAGATAAATGTAATATAAAATTAATAAAATTATAGTTTTTATAAAAATTTATTATGACTTGTATTAATTAATAGTGTTAATGAAACATAATATACATTTTATAATTAGTTTAAGCTTACAATAATTATAATAATAATTTATATTGAAAAAAAAATATCATTTTTATAATAATTATTATCGTTCCTTAGTTTTGTGTTAATTTTATTTGTTATTTTTTTAACTTGAGGTTCTAATAATTGTTTTTTGATTTTTAGAGTGAAGTTATAATGACTATATACTTATTTAACAAACTCTTAAAATAGTATTTTTTTACTGGGAAAACCAATAGCTTTTTTTGAAAAGTTGTTCTAATGGTTTCTGTTTTGCTTTTATACAGCACAATATGGAAAGCGTATAAATTCTGATCAGAAATGTTCATATTTTGTTTCTTGGAATCTATGGTATACGAATTTTGCATATTTTATTTCCGAAAGAAACTTCGGGTGACGTTTAAACTTTAATGTGGTACACAATTTTATTATTTTCATGAGTTAGACGCGTGTTCTAAACGAACTAATGCGATAAATCAGAACAGCTGCTCTTTGACCCGTAAACACCAAATACTTACGAACCGAATATTTCGTATGCGTTTGTTTTCATGGTAAGGGGTGGAGAAGTTATGGGGGTGTAATTTAAAGCCAACGACTATTTGTATCGGCCTGGAATTTCGCTTACCATTTATATATATATGCTATTGCAAAGAGAGGACAGTCACACACGAATAGCCTGGATAAACAATAGGGCCTGATATTTCTTTTTCTGGCTATTCACCCAATCTATTCTTTGGATTTCTCTTTTTTTCGACATTGTTTTACCATTTAGGAAGATATAGATGATGGCATTTAGTCGTTTGAAGTGGTGCTTCTCGAAATCTGGTGATAAAAAATGGCAATAAAATATTTGTTTATATACGTTTGGTATTGGCGCGTTTGTTTGTTTGTTTTTTTTTTATATTGTTTCTTATAATAATATATATGTATATAATTAAATGTATCATTTAATATACAGAAAACAGTATTTAAATGATTTACGTGTTCAACAAAAGTAATTTGTTATTTTTAAGTTTGAAATTTTTTGATGTTTAGTATATAATATATTTACAAACACATCAAAAATAGTAATATGAATTTTATAGTCGTTTATAAATAATTGGTTATTATTTAATAAGATGAGAGAAAAATTGATAAATTATTTTATAGGATCATAAAATTTTGTAACTCAAATTAAAAAAATGTAAATAATTAATATATACTATAGAATTTTTAAAATGATAAAAGTTAACAATCATTAATTTCCACACTAATTTTAAATTTGTGCTATCTTCTTTTTAGCATATATAATAAACTAATACAATATTGAATAAAAAGAAGTATTAAAACCTGTTTTATGCTAAATTATGCTATTTATTTAATTTAATATGTTTGATTGCATGTTTATCGAATTATGATATTGATATGCTCAAGACAGGAATTTAAACATCCTAAGGCTTTAATTTCTGATATTTGTTAAAAATATTTGTTTCAATCTTAACTATATAGTTTTAATAATAAAACCTAATGAGTTTTATTAATTACAAAAAATATTTATACCTATTAAACATAGGAAGATTTTAATACATTTTTTGAATAACAATAGGTTTAATTTTAAAACACAGTATGAATTACAAAGTGATCTATTTCCATAGAATATAAAAAAAAAAAAATAAGTGAGACTTCAATATCATTTTGTCCGATGGATGTTATAATTTATAAGTAATTAAATTTGATATATTTTACTATTTTGATTTTGCTAGATTATACTTTTTTACGAATATTAAAATGTTAATATTTTTTAGAATTATTGTTTTTTTTATAGCTTAAGTTAAATGTATGACACTGAAATTATAAAAAAGTAATAAGGTGAAAATATGTGTTTAATGTTTATTCTATACAAATATTTAATTTTTAACTTTTTTAACTATAAAATAGTATAGTAGTTAGTATTTATAATTAATATATTACTTTATAAATTAAATAAATAAATAGTTGAACTAGAGATTAAAATGATTTTAAACAATTTTTTGAAGTACATAGAAATCCACTTCTTAAATTAAGTTATATTTCTTATTAATAAAATTAATTACTTGTAAGTATATATTATGCGTTGATTACAATTTTTAATAATTATGCATAAGAAATTATTTTG